ATCATATATTTCTCCAAAGAAGATATACAAATGGTCAAAAGAGTACATGTAAAGATATTCCACATCACTAATCATCAGGGAAATGAAAATCATTCTGGAAAAAGCGCTCAAGAAGTTTCATAGGTGCTTCCTATGAAATTTAACACAATTCATCACTCTTTCTCTCACAACTTATGCTGAAATAATACTGAATAACTTACAGTTCTCTCAACACATTTGTCTGCTTGAACTCCTATTATTTTTTTGAAACCCAACTTGGACTTCAATTTCCCCAGAAAAACTTCCCTGACCTGAAGTTAATTACTCCTTTTGGGCACTTATTTCATTATCCTCATTAATTTATTCAACAAATTCTATTACATTTGACAAATAGTTAGTGACCACTTACTATGTGTCAAGTACAGTGTTAAGAAATCTCATCATCCTTGTTGTTATCATGAACTCACATAGAGTTCAACATATGCCAGGCACTCTCCCAGACAATACACATTTATTAATTTATTGACCCAAGCAACAACTGTATGAAGTAGATATTCTTACTATACCATTATGTAAATGAGGAAACTAAATCCCAGAGAGGTTAGGGAATTTGCCTATGGTCCCCTATGCAGTCCAGCTTTGGGATGCTGTGAAATACATAAAAGCTGAAATACAAGTAAAATATTCTATATGCACCAAAAACCACATTCAAAAATGTATTTATTATCCATTTTATTATGTATTTATTATACAACTTCACTAGTTGAACTGAAAGTACAGCAAACTGAAAGGTTTGCTGTTCCTAGCAGATTTCTCATGGTGATTGTAGGAATGTAGAAGACTTATGGAAAAGCAATGGGTCAAAATATGGTGTAAAAAAATGTTTGCCCTTGTAGATGTGAAGACTTATTATTCTTTCAATTTAGATAATTTGTCCTGGAGCTCAGCCATCAGGTCCTTATTCATACAGTAATAAGCTGAATGATGCGAACAGACTTGCTCCTCCCATCTCCCAAACTAATCAGAGTATGACATTTGACAATTGGTTTACTTGTTTCCAATTAATGTTACCTTTGCTAACAGAGTACAAGTTGACGAGCAGAAGAACTGTACACAGGAGCAAAGTAGAAATTTCAAATGAAATGTTGTAATTTTAGAACAGATAATTGTATAGTACAATATTTGAATTTTAGAAAGAGATGACATTGGCCTCCTATATGGAAAAGAAATGTTGTAATTTTAAAACAGATAATTGTATAGTACAATATTTGAATTTAGAAAGAGATGACAGTGGCCTCCTATATGGAAAAGAAAAGCAAACTGGTACTGCAGATGTCAACATTTCATCATGATGGAAATACTGATAGAGAAACCTTGACAAAATGGACCTGAGACGGAAACTTTCAACAACAAACTCAAACATGGAGTAAATGTTGTTGATGAGTTATGTAGCAACGGTGATGTCACTTGGAATGCAAAACACTGGCCAATGGTTGTTTTACTCATTTTTAAGCGTGTGGCATAGATAGTTTGATAGTTTACAAAGAAATGACAAGTGAAAAATATCGTGGAGAAATTTTATTGGAGGATAGGGACTGGAGCTCATAAGAGATCATTTACAGCAGAGGAAAAACAAAATGTTTCTGCCCGGGGAACTACACATAAAAATTGTGGAACATACTGGTGAGCTGCAGGGGAACAGGGAGGCACAGCATCCCAAAGACCTACTATGACAATGGGAAAACAAAAAAGATGTCAACTGTGTCTTACAAGAAAGTACAGGAAAACAAACGTACATACTATTATGCTATGCATCTAGATGTCTTCCCAAGGCCTCATACGGTCATAGGTATGGGCTTCTAGAGTTTGTGATTGATTCATGGTCCAATGCTGGGATTAAGGGTATGAGTGCTATATCCATTGTAAGGTGGGTAGCCTGCATACAATATAAGAGACCAAAAGAGGCTTCTCTGTCTCTCTGTCTCTCTGTCTCTGTCTGTCTCTGTCTCTGTCTGTCTCTGTCTCTCTTTCTATCTCTCTCTTTTCTTCTTTTTTTTTTTGGTTTTTCTCCGGTACTGGGAACCGAACTCACGACCTTGCGCTTGCCAGGCAGGCGCTTTTGCTGCTGTCTCTCTCTCTTTTCTTGTTGCTTTTGCTATTTTCTGCTGTTATGAATGGTTGCCTCTCTGCCATGTACCACCCTGCCTTGGAGCAAGCTGATTATTGACTGAAACCTCTACAAGTTGTGAGCTAAATAAACCTTTCCTTCCTTAACTTTCAGTGACAGGTATTTTGTCTCAGCAATGAGAAAAGAAACTAACACATATACTATTAGCATAAACAATACTTGTGTATGGCACATGCAGCTGTCATGTGTAAGACCGCCTTGGGTGTGACAGTTGAAACAAAGCTTATTTCTGTGGTAGACTTTTCTTTGTGCTTACAATGTAGTTCACATAGGTTTTTATTTTTGATGTTATCGTTTAGGTTTTATAACCAAGTAAACAGCTGATATGAAAATGTTGATGTCTATTCTAAGCACTCATTAATATTGGTATTTTATTTTATTGATATCTTATTTCCCTGCTAAGTATATGTTGTACAATATAGTAGGAAGCTCCTGACAAAACAGGAAGAGAACAGAGCAGACAAGACTGCTACACAGGAAAGGAAAGCTAAGCACATGAGCTGTCATTGTAAGTGAGATATGTGCACGAAGCATAGAGTTGTCATGTGTGAAGACTACTGGGTGTGAGAGTTCAAGAAAAGCTTATTTTTATGGTAGATTTCAATTGGTATTTTCATTGTGTTCACATAGGAATTTATTTCTGTTATCTTTTAGGTTTTGTAAGGAGTACACAGCTGATCTGAAAATATTGATGTCTATTCTAAAGGCACAATACGTATTAAGAATTTAATAATTTATTTTATTATATTTTATAATCTATTAACTACATAATATATAACATAATAAGAACCTCCTGACAAAATAGCAAGCCCACTGAAATGTCAAATACATCCTACAAAAAGGCCAGGAAAGCAAAAGACATGTACTATTAGTGGTAAGTGACGTGTGTGTTTGGAAGGTGCTGTTGTCATGCGTGCAGACTGCCTTAGGTATGATAACTGAAGCAAAGATTTCTTTTGGTAGAGCGTTATTGGTGGTTTTTATTGTAGTTCATATGGGAATTTATTTTTGATGTTCTTTTTAAGACTTTGTACACCAAAAACTAGTCAATGTTGAAAATTTTAAGACTTTTGTATACACAATAAATATTAAAAATGCAATACTTTATTTTTGTGATTTTTTTTCCTCTTAAGTACTCACTATTTAATATAATAAAACTCATAAAATTAAAATTAATAATTCATCAATAGAAATATTCTAAAGAATAAATGTGGGTCCGACAGATAAAATTCTGCCTTGATAACAAAGGCTACTCCAAAGGCTACTCTACGTATGACTGGATGGGTTAATCTACATATAACTATTTGCCACTTTGCTAATTACCTTTCTTCCTTGTCTCCCAAAGATTCCATGGTCAATCATAAACACTCCAATTAGCCCTCCATGTGATAGTCATCCTTAAACTCAACTGTTCTATTTCATGCCTACATTCTTTGAACTAAAATGTGCTTGAGAAGATCGTGTCATTGTGCTGTCTGGGCTCACTGATACAAATTGCAAATGGGCACTCAACCCTGCTGGTAAACTTTCTGCAGTTTACTGTGTCACCCTCACATCCAGTCCTTCATCCTCCTCTCTAACTTTATTCCTTCACAATAGATATGAATGAGATAATATCACTCCCTAGCTTGAATACTAACAAAATATCTTATGCTCCAAAGCCGTCTCGCCCTGGCTTTCAAAGCCTATAGGTTTGGCTTCCTTCTAAGTCTTCACCCTCAGACCATATTTCCTTCTCTGTCCTTCCCCACACTGGCTTTTGACCCCTCACCCATAACAACCTACCTCAACGATAGCTCATTTCTGTCTCTTTACTTGCTTTGTCCTTTCCCGGTAGTCTCTTTTCCCTGTTGGCTCCTTCTTATCCAGATCTCTTCGCTGAGAGGCCTTTCTTCTTTGGTTTATCAAGGAACCCTTCCTAGTCCCTAAGGCATTTTCCAATTTTACCTCCTTTGGAGTGTTAATCAGTATCTGAAAGTACAGCGTTCATTTGTGCTTTGTTTATTGTTATTTTGCTTAACTGGAATTTTATGATTTTTGAGACAGGGTCTCCTTATATAGTTCAGGCTGCCCTCGAACTACGTGCGATCCTCCTGCCTCTGTCTCCTCAGTGCTGGGATTACAGGCATGCGCTACCATGCCCAGCTAACTGGAATTTTACTCCATGCCAGATGACGTTTGTTTGCAGCTCTAAACTCAGGCTCTAGAAACCTGCCTACCTCATAGTTAAGGGTCTCGTCCATATACATTGACTGCTTGAAAGCCACCCTGGTCGTTTGTACTATAACGAAGCCACAAAGGAACAACTTTTGGTTTGTTTGATTGTAATGAGGGTAAGGCACTTAAATGAAAAAAAGCAGGGATCCAAGAAAGTTTCTTTTATCCGCAGCATGCCCAATGTTTTGTGTTGCACAGTGTAGGGATGTCACAGAATTCCAAGGCTAGAGGGTTGGTCTCTTAACCTTATCCAGACTTTTTTTTTTTTTTTTTTTTTTTGGTCTTTTTTGAGACAGGGTCTCCTTATGTAGTTCAGGCTGATCTGGAGCTCACTTTGTAGCCCAGGCTGACCTCGAACTCGCAACGATCCTCCTGCCTCAGCCTCCCAAATGCTGGGATTACAGGCGTGCGCCACCACGCCTTGCTTATCCAGATATTTTACTTCTGTAACCGTTCTTGCTTGTTAACCAGTCCCTGTCTTGGGAAGCGGCGCAAACTCTTAGCGCAGGCGCCCTGGAGCTGATTTGGTGGCGCCAAGGGCTTTCCAGCGCGCATGAGCAACTCGAGACTGCCGGGGCGTGAAGCGTTGCGCAGGCGCATTTGGCCGAGTCGCTAGGTGGGGCGCTCTTGGAGGCGGGGACCCAGGCATCAGGGGAGCCAAGGAAGTCGTACTCCCTTGAACTGTGAGTTTCCGACGGTTCGTTCCATGGCGCGGGATTGTGAGGTATTAGGAACGAATTCTGAATCGAGACCTCAGTTTTGTCGCAATGTTTTATCCCTTTCGCCTTCCCTGCCCTGCAGATCCCTCCGACCTCCGGCGGGAAAGTCGCGCGCCTGCGCACTAAGCACCCCGTTCGGGCTCCGGGCCGCGGGCGGAAGGGCCGGTTCTCCTGAACTCAGGACCCGCGCTCGCTGAAAGGGGACCATTCGTTTCCCTTCTCTTCTCCCGCCTCGCGCTCGTGGCCGGAACTGTATTTTCCATGCGTTTGTGCGGGGCTTTGGACGAGTCTCCTGGCTTCGAGCCTCCTGGCTCTTTGGGTAGTCAGTGGGCAGTGACTTCCATACTCAGCTTTCTCCCCCGGGCAAACCACCCCTTTTCCTCCCCGCCCCACGCCCTCCAGCTGGCAGGTGCCCGGGCTCGCTGCTCCGATGGCCCCCGACCCGGGCCCTTTTCACTGCTGCCAGCTGCAGCAAAGGCTTCCCCGCTGGGAAATGCTCCCTGTGGCCCTCTGCTGGTTTTTCTGGAAGGTGAAAGAAATTCAAATGGCGTTCCTTCGGGCTAGCTTCTCTTTGGGGATTTGAGCATATGGTGCCTTTTTAAATGTTGGCACTTCTGAGAGCCATGGCATTGTGTAGTGCTTGGCTCAGGGAGTGGTTCAACTTAACCTTCTCCAGTATTCTAATTTTGACAGCTGCTTTGCTCCCCCTGTGTGCATAACCCGTTCTTGACATTTTGCATCCCAGTTTTTTTGTGCTGGAGGCGTCTTTGGGGATTCAGATGGACGAGCCAATGGCTTTTTCTCCACTGTGCGACCGTTTTCAGGCTGATGATTCTTTAAAAAAATATGAGCAGAATTTTAAGCTTTCAGGTATGTGTTTACTTCCCAACTTGTACAGTTTTAAAGATGAACAGGTAGCCATTCTATGTTTCCGACTACTTTAAATAACACTGAAAAGGTGAACTGTACGTTTATATAAGAAGGAGCATTTTACAGATATGTAAAGATTGAGGTTACATTTTAAGAGGATTGTAATCCAGTCTTCATTTTACAGATGACGATGCTAATATCGAAGTATTAGTAGCTAGGAAAACACAAGTTTTTTCATGGGCAAAGTAGAATTTGTCTTTTTCTAGAGCTTCTTTTACCTCTCCTTGCCATACTCCGTTAAGTGTGGTTTTAGAAACACACTAGAAGAACCTCAGATTTCAAAAGCAGAATTCAATGACAATGAAATGTTAGTAGCTGCGAAAAGGCGTGATAATATGGTTTATAAGCGTAATTCATCAAGTGTTTGACCATAACACAGACTTTGGGTTGAGAAGATGATTTAATACCAGATCTTCTACACTAACAGGTGTACCTTCATTCCTCCTCTGTCACAGGGCCTGGGACATAGGGAGCATTTAATAAATATTTTGTAAATAGAAGAATTCCAGTTGACTGTAATTTCTTTTCCCTTAAAAGTTAGCTAAATCTTTTCCACCTTTGTCCTAGGCAAATTTAATGTTTCGCCTAAAGATCCTAGTTATGACCTTGTTCATGATCTGTACTTTTTATGTACACTACAGAAGACCTGAACTCCACCCTAAAACAATATGACATCACATGCTTTTGCTTTCTGAATAAAACTAAACTCATTTGGGGTCAAATTGAGTACACTTCCCAGTGTCCCTTTTTTGTGGTGATGAAATCCACTGTTATTTCAGTTACTACATTTAAAATTTTCAATTTTTGACTTACGCTTTGTATTTGCTCCCTATATCCAGTCACCCAACTTACCTTCTTTTTACTGTTGGAATGCTGTTGCTTCTTTACTTTCCCTTTCTACCTCATTGATTCTCATACACTTTTTGTTCTTGAATTATAATCAAGTCTTTTACCTTGTACTTCTGTTTCAGTTTCCATTTCATTCACAACGCTGCTACTAGATTAACCTTAAAATACCGGTTTCATTCAGTTTCATAGGTGCTGCCTTTCTTCCCTTCCATTCTTCTTGCAATTACCTATTTTTCACTGTTTAGCTTTCCCTTATTAGTCACTGGACACACTGTATAATAATGTAGTTATTATTCTTGTATTGTTTGGCACTCTATTGTGTCTCTAGTTTGGCTTGTGATACATGTTGTGCATTATTAACTAGAGTGTGTAAATGGATCAGTCTGCTTTGATTTTAGCATGCTGTTCAGGACAGTGCTGTTCTAATATTCTGAAAATCCACTGGGAAATAGAGTTGAATTTTATTTTCAGTTTTGAAAGTTTTGTAGCCATTCACATAACCCAGCATTGGACAACATTATAAATAATGCCTGTGATAATATATAAAACATGCTGAAACATTACCCATATGGTTCTTTTATTATATGACCCGTAATAAAAGCTACAGTTATATCAAAAACATAACTTCAATAAAGAATAAAGCTGATGAGGTCCAGGCACATAACTGTCTCTTGATCTAATTGAAAAAGTAAATAGACTAGATCATGAGACAGTTATGTGCCTGGACCTCATCAGCTTTATTCCTTATTGAAGTTCTGTGTTTGATCAGACAGCGGGATTTTTTACATATCTTTGCATTCCCAAAACCATACAGGGTCCAACACATAGTAGGTGCTTGAAATATTTGAATGAAAGACTTAATGCAAGGTGTCTATATCTGTTTTCATGAAAAGCCACTTTGAAGGTATCAATATGTAATACAACCACCACTGTTAATTCCCTACCACTTTGTTTGTAACTCTGTATTGTCTGTATTGTGCTTGTGATATGTTGTAAAATGTTGTATGTCTGTTAATGTTTCCCTCCTTTTATCTTTAAAATTAAAAAAAAAAAAGACTTAATGCAAGGATATAAAGTAGTGTAATAGATGTATAGCAAAGCCCTTTGCTTTGGGAAAGACTAGATCCTAGCCTGTTATTTGGTCTCCAGCTCTTCATGTTCTTCCTTCCCTTCCAGTCCATGTTTACTTGTCATTTTTGTGCTTAGTAACTTTCCATAGCTTTCACTTGTGTTCTGCTTTTCCCTTCCTCAGCTACATTATATTTTCTTATGTCCCCTCCTTCCTTTTCCCGACTCTTCTGTGCCTTTTCTTTTCATCTTGTCATCTTTTCATTCTTGTCATCTGAAGGCTTCCTGGCACCTTCAGAAGCATTTATCCTCCCCAACTCTGTGTCTCTTCTAGCTAGTACTATATGCATTCCTTGCTAACAGTTACCATTGTATTAGGAGTAATAATGTCTGTTTCCTTTACTAGACTAAATCGTAGAGAATAGTAGCTGCACCTGTTTTTTAAATTTTTCAAATATACACATGGTCAAGCATTTATAAAACCTGTTGAATGAATAACTTCATAGACCTCACTTATACCTCTGTGAAACTGGGCAAGTGATTTAACTTCTCTGAATAGGGTATCCATGTCTGGAAAAATAAGGATTTTAACTCCTTTTCTGCCAGTCACAGTGCTGTTATGAAGATCTGAGAAGACAATGCATGTGAAAGTGTTTTAAAAATGTCTTAAACTGTTACACTATGCAGAGTATTACGGTAACTTCAAGTAGCTTATATGTGACTTAGATATTATTGATAAACTCTCCAGATTTTGGTAACCTCTTCTTGTATCCAGTTGTTATTAGAGTTTATATTATTGCCTGTACTTATTTAAACCATATATATTTTCATAGAGTTTCAATTTATTTAAAAGTAGCAATTTTTCTGCTGTCCAAGATAGAAGATGCTACTATTAATTGGGATAAAGCTTTTAAAATATTTTTTACATGCTCAGAGCTTTAGTAGTCCTACTCTTGGGAGAACTGTGAACGTTCAATGCATAATACTTTTCCAGATGTCAAGATTCTGTATATTTGAAGAAGAAAGTAGTTTTGAGGAACATTGCATTGTATCCTTATTATGCCATCTAGTGACCACAGCATAAATTTATTTGCTTTTCATTTTTATTTTGGGTTTTGTTTGTTTTATGTTTAGTTTTTTGTGTTTTTGTTTTTAAGAGATAGAGTGTCATTGTGTTGCCCAGGGTGGTCTTGAACTCCTGGGTTCAAGTAATCCTGCCTCAGCCTCCTAAATAGCTGGGACTACAAGCCAGGACCACCATATCCAGCTTTAGTTACTTTTTAAATTTTAGCTTCCTCATTTTAAAAACTAAATATGCAATAATAGTAGAGTTAGTATTACTGTATAATTCCAGTGTAGTAGGTATTTTGTATGTGTAATTCTGGGACTGTCATCTTTATTAATATAGGAAGTATGAATCAAAGCACCTTGATGAGGTTTTAATTATTCTTGTAACTTTTAATAAAACATTTTTACTTATGCTTACTTGTGTTAGAATTTATTGCATTGAATTTTTTTAACTTTAGAAACTGTAAAATATATCTTATTGGCTGTAACTGTAAATTTTTGTTCCCTTGATAGGTATTAAAAAAGACATTGAGAAACTTTATGAAGCTGTGCCACAACTTGGTAGTGTGTTTAAAATTAAGGACAAAATTGGAGAAGGTAATTTGGGGATATACTTTTATTATCTTTATGAGTTTTTTCACTTATATTTTCATTATTTCTTGATCTCACTTTTAAAACTATTAAGACTATGAGAATACTATAAATTATTGTAACACTTTTCTCCCCTGGAAAGAAGGAAAGTATAAATAATAAATATTTACAGTAAAATGAACATTTCTATCTTAATCTATTATACTATTAAAGTAGTTTGTTCTGTTTTAGCATTGTTTCATTAAAAACTTTAAAAGTGAAATATTGAAAATTCTAAATTATTTTATAGGCACTTTCAGCTCAGTCTATTTGGCCACAGCACAGTTACAAGTAGGCCTTGAAGAAAAAATTGCTCTCAAACATTTAATTCCAACAAGCCATCCTGTAAGAATTGCAGCTGAACTTCAGTGTCTCACAGTGGCTGGGTAGGCGATTTAAAGATATTTTAATTGAACTGTCTACATATACCGTATAACATTTTAAGGTAGATCCCTAATAGGAATGATCAGATTGTATATAAACTAAGTGTAATTCTCAGTTGTTTGCATTTTGTTAGCACTTTGCCGCTAACCTTGCGGTAGTGAATTTATATTAATTTTTTTAGAGGGCATTTCCCTTGAGACCCAGCTTGATTTTTCTGTTCCTGTGTCACTTTTTCTGTAACCTTCCTGCCAAATCACAAACCTGGCTTCCATGGCCTGCATTTTTTTTATATGTGGGGAACTCAATTTCAACATCTCCATAACTATTGACAGCCTTAGCTCATTTTTTTTTAGACAACAGAATTATTTGGTTATTCATTCTCATTTTCTCTCTGCTAAGTTCCTTTCAGCATAAAGACATGATGTATTGTCTTTCTGAATTATCTTTCTTCTTCCAGTTTCTCTGTTACTTCTTTGTCCCCTTTTACTGCCAAACTTCTAAAAAGTTATCTCTATGTACTATTTTCATTTCCATGCTTTCTTTTCACTACGTACTCACTGCGCTGCTTTCTTCTGGCTAGACTGAAACTGATTTTGTTATACTGTAGAGTCAGCCATGACTGTAGCCATAATTTAACATAATTGACTTTTTAAAGTATATGTGCCGCCAAAGCAAGCACTAATTGACACAGAATAATTATTTATAGGGTACCTGTGATGACTTGATGCATGTATACAGTGTGTAATGACCAAATCAGGGTAAATAGCATTTCCAACTCCTTAAACATTTATCATTTTTTTTGTGTTGGGAGTCTTCACAGTTCTCCTCGTTCTTTATAAATTGTTATAAACTATAGTCACCTTTCTGTGCTCTGGGATCCTAGGGCTTTTTCTCCTGTCCAGCTGTATTTGATAATTGTTAACCAGCCTCCATCTTGCCTGTTCCCTAACATTCCTAGCCTCTAGCAATCAGTATCTTCTATATACTTTTATGAGATCAATTTTATTGACATTCATATATGAGGGAAGCATGAGGTATTTGTCTTTCTGTGCCTGGCTTATTTCACTTAACTTAATGTCTTCTAGTTCCATCCATGTTACTGCAAAGGACAGTGTTTCATTTTTTTGTTTGTTTTGTTTTGTTTTGTTTTGTTTTTCTCCGGTACCAGGAACTGAACTCACGACCTTGCACTTGCCAGGCAGGTGCTTTTACCGCTGAGCTAAATCCCCAGACCCAATGTTTCATTTTTCATGACCAAATAATATTCCATTGGTTAATGTATCACATTTTCTTTATCCATTTACCTGTTGGACACCTTGGTTAATTCCAAATTTTGGCTAATACAAATACTGCTGCAATACATTTGAGAGTACAAGTATGATTTTGATACACAGATTTCATTTCCTTTGGATATGTGTCCCGTAATAGGATTACTGAATTATGTGGTAGTTCTATTTTAGTGTTTTTTGAGGAATATGACTGTTGTTTTCCATACTAATTTAGGTTCTGATCATGACTGTGTACGGGTTCTGCCTTTCTTCATATCTCACCAGCATTTGTTATTTCTTTTATTTTTGATTATAGCTATTTTGACTGGAGTTAAACGGTATTTTCTTGGGGTTTTGATTTGTGTTTCCCTGATTGAGAATGTTGAACATTTTTCATATGTTGTTGGCCACTTGTGTATCATTATCTTCTTTTGAGAAATGTCTGTTCAGGGATCTGGGGATTTAGCTCAGCGGCACAGCGCCTGCCTGGCAAGCGCAATGTCATGAGTTCGATTCCCAGTACCAGAAAAAATAAAAACAAATGTCTATTCAGACTTTTGCCTTTGTGTGTGTGTGTGTGTGTGTGTGTGTGTGTGTGTGTGCCAGGAATTGAACTCAGGACCTTGCATTTGCCAGGCAGGTGCTACACCACTGAACTATATCCCCGGCCTGTTTGCCTGTTTCTAATCAGTATTTAGTTTCTTCTGCTGTTTTCTGAGTTTCATACATGTATTTATGGAACCTAATTCCTTGTTGGATTAATAGTTTGCAAATATTTTATTCCACTCTTCAGATTGCCTCTTCAGTCTTCATAGTTAGATATATATAATCTCATTTGTCTGTTTTTACTTTCATTGCCTGCACTTAATCTAATTTGAGTTTGTTTTTGTATATTTTCTGCTGTGTGTAGAGTCCAGTTTTTCCGCACCATTTATTGAAGAGACTGTCCTTTCTCCAGAGTGTATTTTACCCCAAAGTTTGTATGTCCTTTCTCTAGAGTCCATTTTGTTGAAGATCAATTGACTGTGGATGTGTGGATTTATTGCTGGGTTCCCTCTTCTGTCTTATTGGTTATGAGTCAGGTGCTGTATCAGCACCACTCTGTCTTATTTTCTGAATAGCATTATAGTATATTTTCAGGCCAGATATTCTGATGCCTCTAGATTTGTTCTTTTTGCTCAAGATTGCTTTGGCTATTTTGTTTTCATAAGAATTTTAGGATTGTTTTTTCTTGTTCTGTGGAGAATGTCATTGGTATTTTGCTACGGATTGCATTGAATGTGTAGATTTAGAATAGTATCAACATTTTAACAATATTAATTTGTCCAAACCATGAAAATAGGATCCACCCTTCCTGAGTATGATGGCACACTCCTAATCAGCTGCTCAGAAGGCTGAGGAAGGGTGATTGTAAGGTCAAGACCAGCTTGATCACTTAGTGACACCCTGCTAAAAAATTTAAAAGGGTGCAGGGAAGTATAGCTCAGCACTCCCTGAATTCAATCCCCTGTACTAAAAAAAATAAATAAAAATAAAACTCAACCTTATCTCCTGCCAGTCTTCCCACTCCCCTGTGTTCTGATTTCTTTAGCTTCTCTAATTTGTCTGAAGAGCTTTCTTTCTCAGGGTCACTGTTCAAACTCCCCCCTTCAGGAAGATTTCTGCTAGTTTTCACATGGTAACTCCTTATCATTTTGATAAAAGCAAGAGTGGCACTGCTTCAAAAAGTCTTCTATGAATTAAATTGGACTCAGGTTTTAAAAAAATTGTCACATACCTTTTGATTACTTTCAAAACCCGTACCATAATCTGTGTCTTACTTTTCTCACTGCTGAAACAAAATACCCAACTCCCAAAGTTAAAGGAGGAGAGGTTTATTTGGCTCACATTTTGTAGAGATTTCAGTCTATGTGTCTTAGGTACTATTTTCATTGCTGAGATAAAATACACAACACCTAAGGAGGAGGGTTTATTTAGCTCACAGTTTGTGGAGATTTCAGTCCATAACTGACTGGCTCCAAGGCAAGGTGGCACATGGCGGAGGGGAGACATTTCATGGCAGGGAAGACAGCAAAAGCAAGCAAGCAAGAGAACATGAGACAAGCCTTTTTCTGTCTCTTATCTTGTATTTAGTCTACCGGGATTAGGGAGGTGGCAATCCAGTTAGTAGACTGATTCAGCAATCAACCAGCCTTAATCCCAGCACTGAACTACAAATCAATCACACACTCTACAGCCACCTCCCAAAAAATTATGACTGCATGAGGCTTTGAGGGAACGTCTAGACACAAACCATAACACTATAGGCAGCTAACTCCAAGGCAGGGTAGCATGGCAGAGCGTCATCACAGAGGAGAAATAGTTCATGGCAAGCGGGCAGGTGAGAGCAAGCAAGGGACCTTAGCAGCTTCTTTCTGTCCCCTTCATACTCTGTCTTGGCTAGCAGCATTAGGGTGTTGCCAAACCAATCAGTGGACTGATTTCTAGATCCAGCCACCTCTGAAAAACCCCTCCCTATAACTGCATGAGGCTTTGGGGGATTTCTAGACACAAGTCGTAACAATCTGTCATTGTTACCTTGTTTATCTGTATTGTCCACTAAATAATAAACTCCTCAGAAAAAAAGGACAGAAACTGTGTTAATTTTAATGCACTGCTGAATTTATGCTTTTACATTGTGTCTAGCAAACACCAGTGCCTCCTAAATATTTATTGAATGAATAAATGAGCTTATTTCTTTCACTCCTCTCTGTTATAAAAGACAAGAAGATGAGCTGGCCTCTCTAAGACATGATTACATACATTCTAGTTCCCTAATTAAGATCATTTCTTCTTTTCTATACAACTTTACATCCATTTACCACTTTCTTTTTCTTTGAATTTTAAAAGGATACCTGCTCAGAATGTCTTCATATGATCTTACAGTGCAATGAGGCAAATTGTTTTTGTGCTCTGCTTCCATTCTGTCCTGTTTTCCTTCCTTAACTATTGTCCCTCTTCATTTGCATCTTTATTTTGCTGTAAAAAATTACTACTTAATTCTTCATTGTAAAACTAAAAGCTTTCCCTCTGTTCTTTTTATCATGTTTGATAATCCCTTCCTCCAACTCCTTTTTGTTGTCCCTTCCTTATTTTATGGTCCAATTTAGAGACTTTATTCTGAGGCTCAATTTTCTTGATATTCATCTTCACAGCGTTAGATATCACTTCTTTGTAAGCCCTGTGCTCTCATTAATTTCTTACTTGACTTCTGCTGTCATATCTCCTTGTATCTATCAAAATGATAAGCTCTTTGTTTTAGATACTTCTTTACCTGATGTTGATTCTTCATACCCACATTGTTTACTCAGGCTCCAAATCATGGCAGTCAACTTTCCCCTTTGTTCTCAACTTTTATGAAGCAGGGTAGCGTAGTAAGCAAGAGCATTAGTCTGGAGCACACTGCTAGGATTCAGAGATGGCTTCAGGACTTACTAGTTTGGTGATCTGGGGAAGGAAGTTCCTTAAACTCCTCGACCTTCGTTTTCCTTCTCTGTTAAAAAAAGGGGGAAAGAGTAACAGCACTTTCCTTTGATGACTGTTGTACAGTGGTACCTTGGTTCACTAACTGTTCATGATTTTGGGAAAGATGGCCATGGTTGTGTTTGTCCCCTTTGCAGAGTTTGCAAACAAACACACAATTTTGCCAAGTGCTTCTGTGTGTAAACCACATTTTTTGCAAGTAAAAAAGCATTCCTGCACCAAGTCAGCGCTGTAAAGGTGAAGTTTGTTAATAGATATGAGGTCCTTAGATCAGAGCCTGGTATATAGTGAGTATTTAGTAAGTGTTACTGTTATTTTAAAAATTCATTTATACCCTTACTGAATCTGCTACTAAGTCTGTTAACTCTGTCTTGTACATCTTTTTCATTCTGCCACTTCCCAGTTAAAACTATAATTGTCTCATATTTGAATTATTTTAGTAACTTGTAACTATTACTACTTTTTACTTAAAACCTTATGTTTTATTCAAGTCAGTTAAATGTTTACACTATCTTACATGATGATTTTAATTCAATTTTCTAGCAGTATGTATGAATTGCTAAAATTACACTTTTTTAAAAAATACAGTATAAAGTTGTAGTTCATTTGACCTTTCCTCTAAAGTTCATTGTGCGTTTTTCCACTAGGGGGCAAGACAATGTCATGGGAGTTAAATACTGCTTTAGGAAAAATGATCATGTGGTTATTGCTATGCCATATCTGGAGCATGAGTCTTTTTTGGTAGGTTTTAATATTTCTTAAATTTTAATTAGCTAAATATTTGATTGAAAAAATTTTATGACCTCATTCATAACTTTATTTTAGGACATTTTGAATTCTCTTTCCTTTCAAGAAGTACGGGAATATATGTTTAATCTTTTCAAAGCTTTGAAACGCATTCATCAGTTTGGTATTGTTCACCGTGATGTTAAGCCCAGTAACTTTTTATATAATAGACGCCTAAAAAAGTAAGTATGAAGAATTCCTAGAAAATACTTACATTTGCATATTTGTTTTATGGGAACACTCTGCAACAACTTTGTACAAATTAATTTTGTTTAAAATTTTTGTTGTGATTGGGGGAAAGAAATGCATGAAGAATATAAAATTGCATTAATAATGTGCATTGTTAGATGTAATGAGATTCAACGGAAATAGCACTTTGCTAAAAGAAAATTGGAAAGAATTCAGTTCTTTTTGACCTTACACATGTGTCTGATCTCTGGGCTTCATTTTTTTGTTTTTGTAAATCAGGGAATTATGTGCTATGATAGCTAATTTCCTTTTTCTACACCAGAGTTCTGATTATATGTATATTTTGGGGGGTTATTATGTCCATAAAGGTATTATAAGTTGAAAATAAAATATTGCTACTATCTAATAGATTACATTGAATACGGTAAGAAGATTAAAATTTATTTGCAAATATTACAGTGTTACTAAGTTTTAATTGTTCAAAATAAAGATTAATTTTGTTTCCTAGGTATGCCTTGGTAGATTTTGGTTTGGCCCAAGGAACCCATGATACAAAAATAGAACTTCTCAAATTGGTCCAGTCTGAAGCTGAGCAAGAAAGTTGTTCACAAAACAAGTCTCACATAATCATTGGAAACAAGATCTCATTGAGTGGCCCTGCATCTAAGGAGCTGGATCAGCAGTCCACCGCAAAAACTTCTGTCAAAAGACCCTATACAAATGCACAAATACAGATTAAACAAGGAAAAGATGGAAAGGTTCTGCCTTTTATTTTTTTTTAAGAACTGCTATCATACTGTTCAGAAATGTACTCCTTCGTCCAACGGGAGATATAATACTAAGATAGTACCTGTAATTAAGCTTTTAAAAATACTTGTATGTATTCATTTGATTAGATTTTTTTTTTTTTTTTTTTTTTT